CCGTATGTGCAGTCAAGCAACTTAACTTTTGGCATCAATCAAGTAAGAATTCATCACCTATTCCCTATCATAAATTGAAGTGTAAATAAATAATAATACAATATTTATGTGAATTTAAAAAATGTACATAATTAATTACGGATTGTTAATGGAGCCATAACTGGAATTCTCTACTATTGCTTTGTTAATTATTTTACAGTTCAAATGCATGTTAGTACTTTATTAATTGATTTTATGATTTGGGATGCATGTATTGTTATTTTACGTGTTTACGGTTGAATTGAAAAAATAGAGGTTAAAGCTAAATAAAAAAATTGTGTAATGAAATGAATAGATGAAACGACAGCCTTACTAGATATCCTAGGAGATGATGGACAGACCGGAGACATAGAGAACCCTACCGTGAACGTTGTCTCATACCGGACGGGGTATGGAGATTTGGTAAATTGACGCTCATACCGAACGGGGGTATGGGGACGACCCACTTCACCATCATACCGGACGGAGTATTGAGGTTTGGTAAATTAGTGCTTATACCGGACGAGGTATGGGGACGATCCGTAATTAAGAATGTTAAATGAAAGGATTCACGTGTAGCGGAGACATCCATATGAACTGCCATGGATACCAGCAGGCTGGTAAAAAGAGTGATAGTTATTATTTAATTTATTGATGATGAATATAGATTTATAATATGTGTTATGATTGCTGATTATACATGCAATCATGATCTGTATAATATTATTGTCTGTATAAATTATTTTTATAAATTTCATTACGGTAAGTGAACGGTAAATAATTTTTATGATTAATAAATGAGTTGCTAAATTTAATGCTCTATTAGTATTTTTTTTTATTTTATACTAATTTTTACTTCCGTGTCAGTAATATAATGTGATATCCTTACATGGTTAGTATAGCTTATTTTTTATTTAACTATTTTAAATTAAGATGATCAAGTTACAGAGCCCAATCCGCAAGATGATTGCGAGTAAATATTAGGTTTCTTTATTTTTTGTTTATTTCTTTATTTCTTGTGTTTTTTCAAAATGGTGAATTTCGTAACACCGTTCGGTATTTTTAGTTATTTGTGTAAGGAATGTAAACCCTAAATTTTTATTACGCTTTTGTACTTTAATTATCTTTTAGAGAGGATTTGGAAGTTTCAAACCCACTCTGGTTCCACATATATATATATATATATAATGTCTTATTATAATTTTGTATACAAAATATCTCTTATTCCAATACAACTAAGCAAATCACATTAATTATATGGAAAAAAATTTATCTTATCTCTTAAGAAAAATTAATTTTCTGTAACAAAAATATGATAAAATAACATTTATTTTAAATTTATTGAAACTTTAGCTATGTTACTAGTTCAATTTTTAGAAACTTAATTTTTGAGATTTATCTATATTGTATTGCATATCACATAAATTCATTCAATTAGGTGTTAAATTGGTACATAAAATATATATAAGTTAAAGATTATAAAATTTTTTTACTTATAAGAAGAGATAAATTTATGTTTTAAGTTTTTATTTTTTATAAGAAAAAATATTAATATAATAATATTTTATTTATAAACATTAATCAGATTAAAATTCGATCATATCATATGAATAATAGAATAAAAATGAGATTTAGATCCGAATTTCAAACTAAAATATATTAAAATTTTATCTTTTAATATATGTTAATTATAAAATTGATATGATTTTCATTTTACCTCGCACCGAAAGATTATCCCTTCTCCCTTCTCGATACAACGACATTTTGCATCACCTTTTTAAGAGGCCTTTGTTTCAATGAAGTGAATTTCCAATCGAAGCACATGAGAAATAAAAAAAATTAATAATATTAAGTGTTATGTGTAAAAAAATAATAAATAAAATATTATATATTGTCAAATTTAATATATAAATATAATTATTAATGTTTTTAATAAAATATTAAAGAAAAGAATTAAATTACAATTTTTTTAAAAAGTATAAAAATTAATTTATCTAAAGAGATTCGAACAAGGTTAAGTATCATGGGGGACCAAATTTGCCATATACAT